AGTTTATCTCCTGTACCAAATGTTTGAATACTGTCCCCCGCTTCTCCAAAGGACTTTGGAGGCCAGCTTACAAGCAAAAGTTGCCAAAGCAAAAGGCCAGCGTGGTTTGAGTCATCCTTTCTTGGGGGATGACCCCATATCGAAGGAGGCCTGCTGTGAACAGGGTTAGACTAGAGCAAAGTGTTACAAGAATTTAAGGTCTCAAATATATAAATTAAATGTACAAGGCAAACACATACATAAATATATACACCACATGTTTGAAACAGTACAGGAAGTAAGTCCTGAAACCATTTTGAATCTCCCAAACTGACCAAATGTTTCTCTGCAAGAAGGGAGGAAATGAAAAAACCTCCCCATTGTCTCTGTGCTCACAAATCCTGCCTTAAGGGCACATTTAAGGTATGACTAGGTTGAGCCTGTGACCTGGATTCAGGAATTAAGTAGTTATAATAACAAAAGAGTGACCAAAACTCAGATAATGCAATCAGGTAACTTGCTAAACAGGAGATAAACAATGCACTCAGGTTTCTGTTGTAGACCGCCTTTTCTGTAGGTATGATGTATCTGGGGGGTGGTCTTGGGCTACACCCCTTCTGTGATGTATGTATGATGTTTCTGGGGGTGGTCTTGAACTCCAGGGCGGGCAATTTATAAGGGCAGGCACACCTTTGTTCTGGGTCCTCCTCCTCCTCTCTCCTGTGTGTGAGGGGAGCACCCTGTTGCAACAGCTTTAATAAAGATCAGGCTTACTAGCTGCTTTGCTTCTCAATATCCTCTGGTTGGCCTCTGTTATTTTCTCCTACCGATGAAAAACCTACAAAGGACTCTATAAGGGCTTGTGTACCCCATAAGGGAAAAAGGGCAGATTTTGTTTACAACAGAAGGGAGCGGGTAAGGTGACAGTTACATTCTCTGATGGAAGAATTTGGATGGTATGGATGTGTGTTGACAGCATTTGTCAGCGGGATGCCAAAGAGCCAGAGCTTTGCAAGCCTAGACAGAGTTCTGCAGCAGCTGGCAACTGGCAGAACTGACAGTCAACTGGAAGGGCCATAGTTCAATGGCAGAGCATCTGCCTTGTATACCAGAGGTTCCAGGTTCGAACCCTTCCATCTCTTGGTAGACTTGGGATTGGACCTGGAACCTGCTGCATGTGAAAGAGGTGTCCTACTATTGGGCTAGGTCCCTTTCCCTTTGACACCCTTTCGTCTCCTGCATTTGGAATAAATGTAGAATTTGATCTTTGCAAACAACTTGATCTATGCTGCTCAGACATGAAGAACAGACAAGCAGAACTTGGCTATCCACCAGACATTGCACTTCTCCGAAAGTTGCAACACAGTTCTTGAATTTAAATGCCTCAGAACCCATATTTAAATCTGTATTTCAGAGAATATGTGTGCATATATATATACCGTATATATGGTATGCTTTTGAAACACATTTTGAGAGAAAATACACAATGAAAGATATCCTTTGAGAAAGACAATACTGTGTGCATTGGAATACATGTTTTCAGATAAAACACACATTTAAATATAGATTTTGAAAGGTTGCATACATTTAATTACTTCCAGAGTTGGTTTCTTGCAGCAAAAACAACAGAGATTATTGCAGCACCTTTAAGCCTAACAAATTTATTGTGGTAAAAGCTTTGTGGGCTACAGCACACTTTTTCAGATGCACGATGCATTCTCCTCCTAGATATATGTACAAGCTGCTGGGCAGACGGAGAGGGGATTTAAGTGAGGGCAGAAGGAAACAAAATGAATAAAATACAGATGATGATCATTATGTGGCTATTCACAAAAATAAAAGTTGTTGATAACGCAAACTTTCTGGCTGCAGTAAGCCAATTAACATGTGCAGCAGATTAACAAAAGCTTTAATGGCTACTAGTCTTGTTGACTATGTATTGTTTCCTGTATGAAAGGCTGTATGTCTCTGAATACTGGTTCCTGGGGAGTGCAGTACTGCTCATGCCTTGCTTTGTGGCTTCCCAGAGCCTTTCTGGTTGGCCACTGTGGAAACAGAATGCTGGTCTGATCCAGAGCAGGTCTCTTCTTATGTTCTGACAAAAGGGCAATGGAAGGTTGATTTATCAGCTGGGAAGAACCTCCCACAGCACCTGATGCTTTTATTGGAAGGTATCTGAAGAGATGGAATATGCCAAATAATAAGGCAAATGGTTGACTGGGGGTCTCATGGGTGCTTTATCACTAGGTCCATATAGTAAAAGCTATGGTTTTCCCAGTAGTGATGTATGGAAGTGAAAGCTGGACCATAAAGAAGGCTGATCACTGAAGAATTGATGCTTTCGAATTATGGTGCTGGAGGAGACTCTCGAGAGTCCCATGGACTGCAAGAAGAACAAACCTCTCCATTCTTAAGGAAATCAGCCCTGTGTGCTCACTGGAAGGACAGATCGTGAAGCTGAGGCTCCAATACTTTGGCCACCTCATGAGAAGAGAAGACTCCCTGGAAAAGACCCTGATGTTGGGAAAGATGGCGGGCACAAGGAGAAGGAGACGAGAGAGGACAAGATGGTTGGATAGTGTTCGCGAAGCTACCAGCATGAGTTTGACCAAACTACGGGAGGCAGTGGAAGACAGAAGTGCCTGGCGTGCTCTGGTCCATGGGGTCACAAAGAGTCGGACATGACTAAACGACTAAACAACAACAAAGGTAAAGGGACCCCTGACCATTAGGTCCAGTTGCAGACGACTCTGGGGTTGCGTTACTCATCTCGCTTTATTGGCCAAGGGAGCTGGCGTACAGTTTCCGGGTCATGTGGCCAGCATGACTAAGCCACTTTTGGCGAAACCAGGGCAGCGCAGGGAAACACCATTTACCTTCCTGCCAGAGCTGTACCTATTTATCTACTCGCACTTTGACGTGCTTTCAAACTGCAAGGTTGGCAGGCACTGGGACTGAACAACAGGAGCTCACCCCTTCACGGGGATTCGAACCGCCGACCTTCTGATTGGCAAGCCCTAGGCTCTGTGGTTTAACCCACAGCACCACCCGCATCCCGCTTTATCACTACATCTCTGCTATTAACACCTAACTTCACCCTCTTCTGGATAACTTTGTATCTCCCCCCCCCCCCCATTCTGATGCAGCCTTTGCTAACTGAGTGCACTATAGATGCTAGGTCAGGCATAGGCAAACTCGGCCCTCCAGCTGTTTTGGGACTACAAGTCCCATCATCCCTGACCAGCGGTCCTGTTAGCTAGGGATGATGGGAGTTGTAGTCCCAAAACATCTGGAGGGCCACGTTTGCCTATGCCTGTGCTAGGCACTACAATTCCCAGCAGTTCCAATGGCTGAGGCTGATGGGTGTGGCAGTCCACAACATCTGGAGGGCACCAGGTTGGCAAAAGGCTGTTCTAAAGTGATTTTTAATTGCTCATGCAATTAAAAAGGTCTGCTTGGTTACAATGTAATAATACGCTTCCCTGAAGATCCTGTGGAATGGCAATTGTTCCTACATGTCTCTGTCTGGGCTGGAGGCCATCCTTTTCTCATAGCAGAGCCAGCTCAATGTGGAACGGGAGCTTCTAATATTGACTTCTTCCATGAGAAAGCTGCTATCAAAAGTGTAATCAGTATTTATGATTCCTCCTCCCCTTTTGCTCTCCTTGAAATGGCAGCAGATTAGAAATCAAAGGTCTCCAGGGTGAACAGGAAGGATATCAGCGAAGTCATCCATCTCCTACCTCGTATGTATTGATTTGTAGGGTTGAATCAATGGGGAAAATTCCACCCTTTGCTAACAGGGATTAAAAATAGAAATGTCAAGATTTTGCCTGCCCAGAGGGGATTGTGGGGTGGGAATGGAGTACAGAAGTAGCACTAGGACAAATTAGGCTTACTTCAGATTTCTGGAATGGTGGGAAATTTGAATAGTATAGTATTAGAAGCTGCTTTACTAGAGGCAAGACCTGGTGTGGGTTGCTCAGTCAGTAGAGCATGAAATAATAATAATAATAATAATAATAATAATAATAATAATAATAATAATTCCACCCATCTAACTAGGTTGCCCCAGCTACTCTGGGCAGCTTCCAACAATTTATAAAACGACAGTAAAACATCAAACATGAAAAACATCTTAATCTCAGGGTTGTGTGTTCGAGCCCCACGTTGAGCCAATGATTCCTGCCTTGCAAAGGGTTGGACTAGAGGACCTCCATGGTCTCTTTCAGCTCTCCAATTCTATGATTCATTATAATAATCTTTAGCCAATGGCCAAGGATGAGGGGTCCTGCCAACCTAGCAGTTCGAAAGCACGTCAAAGTACAAGTAGATAAATAGGTACCACTCTGGCGGAAATGTAAATGGCGTTTCCGTGTGCTGCTCTGGTTCACCAGAAGCGGCTTAGTCATGCTGGCCACATGACCCGGAAGCTGTACGCCGGCTCCCTCGACCAATAAAGCGAGATGAGCGCCGCAACCCCAGAGTTGGCCACGACTGGACCTAATGGTCAGGGGTCCCTTTACCTTTTTAAGGATGAGGGGAATTGTAGATAAGCAGCGTGTGGAGGGTTAAAGATGCCCCATACATACCCAAGTTAGCTCGCTGGTCTATCTCAGATTTGTCTATTCTATGCCAACATTTTCCAACCTGGTGCCCCCTAGAAGCTGTGGGACTGCAGCTCCCCTTAAGTCCTAGCCAGCATGACTGGAGGTCAGGGATGATGAAAAGAGAGGGGAGTCCAATCAGAGGTTCAACATCCAGAGGGCAACCAGGTTGACAAAGGCTGACTGGCCGGAGTTCTTCATGATTTCTATTTAATTACTAAGACTTTCTCCAGGGTTTCTAAACAGGGAGACACTAGGGACTGAACTGGTGATTGTCTGAATTCAAGGCATATGCTCTACCACTAAGCCTTTAGGCTTAAGGCCCATAGGAATCTGTCTTACATGGATCAATGGTCTGACTCAGTGCAGCTCAGGATTGTCTACACCAGCCTAGGGAATCTTGTGGTCCTCTAGGTACTTGCCTGGCAGGGGAGACACCTTGATCATGAAGGAGGTTTTCCCAGGGTGAGGCTCATCCATTGCACTACGAGTGTGCTGACCCCGACCATTTCCCCAAATGCGGGATACTCGACTGCATAATTTGTGGTTGTGGTGGTTGTTGTTTAGTCGTTTAGTCGTGTCCGACTCTTCGTGACCCCATGGACCAGAGCACGCCAGGCACTTCTGTCTTCCACTGCCTCTCGCAGTGGTACCTCCCACCAGATGTCAAAGAGAAGAACAACTACCAGACTTTTAGAAGACATCTGAAGGCAGTCCTGTTTAGGGAAGCTTTTAATGTTTAACAGACCACTGTATTTTAATACTTTGTTGGAAGCTGCCCAGAGTGGCTGGGGAAACCCAACCAGATGGGCAGGGTATAAATAATAAATTATTATTCTGACCTACAGCTACCTTCATCCCTGACCAGAAGAAGAAGAAGAGTTTGGATTTGATATCCCGCTTTATCACTACCCGAAGGAGTCTCAAAGCAGCTAACATTCTCCTTTCCCTTCCTCCCCCACAACAAACACTCTGTGAGGTGAATGGGGCTGAGAGACTTCAGAGAAGTGAGTGGGGCTGAGAGACTTCAGAGAAGTGTGACTAGCCCAAGGTCACCCAGCAGCTGCAAGTGGAGGAGCGGAGACGCAAACCCGGTTCCCCAGATTACGAGACTACCGCTCTTAACCACTACACCACACTGGCTCTCAACCATTGGCCATCCTGGCTATGGCTATTGAGTGTTGGGCTGCAGCATCAGGAGGGCCACAGATTTCACATCCCCTGGGGTGGATCTACTATGCAACTAATGAAGCTTAAGCTTCAGGGCTGCTAATCCCGAAGGGGCCCCAGAAGCAAGTTTAGTCCACCTTGCTCACCTTTGGTCTAGTAGACTCAGTTTGAGTCACACAACTTGAAAACTACCGGTATAAGGCATAGGAAATTTGTATCCATACCAGTGACTGTGACATGTGAGATGGTCTAGTACAGCAATTTTAACCAGAATCTGAGATGCAGTAGTTAATTATTATTATTTTTTTAAAATGTCATGGAACAACCCCATTGAAGAAGGTAACAGTGGTTACCCAGACCTAATTGTTGGTTGCAAAGGGCCCCCCATAACAGTTCAAGTTTTGGGGCCCCCAAAATGTAGGTATGTCACTGCCCATCCCTGCAATATAAATGCTCACTTAGCAGGAAATGGAAAGGGCTTTCTTCGCCAAAGCCCCTAGGGAGTTGCTCTCCATTTGAGTAGACACTGCTGAGTTTAGATGACCAGAAAGGAAGCTGCCTTCTGCCAGATCAGACTGTGTTCCCAAGAAGTCAAGCTGAAACTCTCTTTTCTTTGGGGCCATTTTTAAAAAAAGAAATCTGGATTCAGCACAGCCTTTTTTCTTCCCTTTATCACTGTTGTTTATCAGCTCAAGTGCAGTTTTATGAGACTGGGTACAATATGAAAGTACTTGATGTATTTTCATAGGCTGTGGAGTTATTGACATTCCAATATATTAGATGCTGAGAAAGAAATGCATATTGATGATTGCTGAGTTGTCCTGAGAAAGAAAGGGATAAGAAACCATTTAAGATTTTATTAGATATTTTCGGGATGCTGGATTACTCAGCTGGAGCTCTGAGACAAGAATGAGAGGGGGGGGGTATGGAGACATGCTTCAAGTTTCTGCAATGTCATTGTTGTGGTTTTTGATAAAATATCAGTACAAGCATTCTGGGTGCTGCTTTTCAACAGGAACAGCCTGGATCTTCTGAGTCTTTTGCCTCTGAAAAACCACCACCCATCACATCGTTTGGAGGGACTTTGGAAACCATCTAATTCAGTTTTAGCCAATATGATGCCCCACGGGTATTTTGGACCGTTATTCCACCAGCCCCTGCCAGCCTGACCAATGATGGGAACTGTGGTCCATCTCTTCTGGGGATGTGGTCCAAAGTGTGACCAAAGTGTGGCCAATGTTTGCTCACTGTTTTGTTCGGAAAGGAAAGCAGCAATATGGGTCAAGGGCCATAGCTCAGTGATAGAGCATCTGCTTTACATGCAAAGGTCAGTCTCTGGCATCTCCAGGGAGGAGTGGGAGACAGTGGCGTAGCGTGGGGGGTGCAGGGGGGGCCGGCCGCACCGGGCGCAACATCTGGGGGTTAGGGTTAGGGGGCGCAAATCCATGGGTTAGGGGGCGCAAATTACTTGCCTTGCCCCGGGTGCTGACAACCCACGCTACGCCACTGGTGGGAGACAGTCCTTGCCTGAGAGCCCCAGGCAATCGCTGCAGTCCATACTAAGCTAGATGGACCAAAGGGCTGGCTCAGTATAAAGCAGTTTCCTATGGGTGTTAGTCATGCTTTTTTCATATGAATCCTCCCCCCCCTTTTAAAAAATGTTTAGGTGCAGGTGACATTGCTTGTGCAGTCAAAGCAGCATCATCCATGCCCAAGAGAAAAGTGTCAGCATACCAGTGGATAAAATCATGTATGGTAGGGAGTGTTGTAAAAAAAACCCTGCTCCTTTTTCCTTATGGGGTACCCAAGAGCCCATACAGAGTCCTTTTGTAGGTTCTCTATCGGTAGGAGAAAATAACAGATGCCAAGCAGAGAATATTGATAAGCAAAGCAGCTAGTAAGCCTGATCTTTATTAAAGCTGTTGCAACAGGGTGCTCCCCCCACACGTAGGAGGCAGGAGGGACCCCAAAGAATGGTGTGCAAGCCCTTATGTAGACATTTGAAATTGCCCACCCTGGAGCCCAAGACCACCCCCCAATACATCATACATGCATCACATAAGAGGCGGTCTACAGCAGAAATACATCACCGAAGAGGCGGTCTACAGCAGAAAACCTGTCTGCCAGGGTACCTCAAAATGATCACTGATTGCATTACTTGAGCAGTCTGGCGATTCCTTTGTGATGGTAAATACTCAGTTCCTGAATCCAGGTCACAGGCTCACCCTATTAATACACAGATACCCCTTAAGACAGGATTTGTGAGCACAGAGACAATGGGGAGGTTTTCCTATTTCCTTTGTCCTTGCAGAGAAACATTGGAAGTCAATTTGGGAGAGACAAAATGGTTTCAGGACTTTTCCTGTACTGATTCAGACATGTGGTGGTTTATATGTTTATGTATGTGTTTGCCTGGTACATTTATTTCATATCTTAGACCTTATCATTTTATGAACATTTATTTTATATCTTAGACCTTATAATTCTCATACCAGGAGCATGTGGCTTTATGTTGTCTGAAGGAGGCCAAGCACTGAAGCTGTGATGTGTGCCAGCCCCCCTCAACTTTGAGAGGGCCCAACCCCCTTCCAACAAATATTGAGGGGGCCGAGGTGTCTTTGACTCCCTAGAATTGGCATATCTGATCGTGGCTGTGTTCTACCTCCACTGTTGCTGGAAGCCATCTGTGCAATGGACATGAAAATCCAACTTAAGAAATCATTCTATTGTTTGGATGTTTTGTATCCCCAGCAGGGACAAACTGTGAAAAGGTACAGGATGTCATTTTTAAGGTTAGCCAAGACCTCTGGTCAACAAGGCACCTATTTTCGCCCTGGACTCTTATATTTTTAATCAATTTGTCACACTAACTAAAACCCTTTCAGCTTAAACGTTATTGTAAAACAGTTGGTATTATTACTATTTTTTAAAAGATCACTTTCAAGGAACCAAGGAAGCAAGATGGACTGATCAAGGGAAGAAGAAATTACTGGCAGGAGAGGATATTTTTACTGGCAGGGAAATTCTTGAAACAGTTTTTACTGGCAGCCTGTAAGTTTACTGGCAGTTGGCAACCCTTCTTAAGACCTTTATGAAGGTGCAGGCGTTATGCCAGTTGTTCATGAGCTGCATTCACAGATTTCAGCTGGAGACAGGTGAGCTGGGGGCTAGGCAGAATCCATATCCATATCTGTGTTGCTCCATCATCTGCTGATCACAAGGAAAGCTGTGTATTTTTCGCTCCATAAGACGCACCTAGTTTTTAGAGAAGAGAAAAATCCTGTTTTTATGGGGTTCAACTCACAGTTCTGCAGCTTCTTTAGGAAAGGAAAGAGAGCCTTTTCTACAGTTTCCAGACAGATAACCTAATCAGCCAGTCACATGTCACTGGGGAAACTAACGGCTTTCATCTGCAGAAAATTCAACGATAGAGGTGTGGGCAAGTGGCCGGGGCCAGAAAGGGAGCCAGTGATCGACCACACATTCGCTCCATATGACGCACAGACATTTCCCCTTACTTTTTAGGAGGAAAAAAGTGTGTCTTATGGAGCGAAAAATACGGTAAGTGTACAAGTTTCACCAGGCTTGGAAACAGAGTTGGATTTGAGCATGTGGAGATGGGGGGCAATCAATGCAAAAGGAGAGTTGTTTGCAGGCCAGAATCTGACCATCACTGACCTACTGTAAGAAGAAAAGCATTGCTGGATCAGGTGAAAGGCCTACGTCCCTAACCCAGCATCCTGTTTACACAGTGGCCAACTAGATGCCTATAGCAGGTCTGCAAGAATAGCATTAGAACTCTCGGCTTGTGTTCACCATTATCCAACAGCCACTGCTGTTACTAGAGGCAACACATTAGCTACACAGAAGCTAATGATAGCCTTAACTATGCACTGCGTGAACTACCATATTTTCCGCTCTATAAGACGCACCAGACCACAAGACGCACCTAGTTTTTGGAGGAGGAAAACAAGAAAAAAATATTCTGAATCTCAGAAGCCAGAACAGCAAGAGGGATCGCTGCGCAGTGAAAGCAGCAATCCCTCTTGCTGTTCTGGCTTCTGGGATAGCTGCGCAGCCTGCATTCGCTCCATAAGACTCACACACATTTCCCCTTACTTTTTAGGAGGGGAAAAGTGAGTCTTATAGAGCAAAAAATACGGTACGTACTTTTGCCTGTCTTATGTCTCCCAGCATTTCAGCTTCATCAGAATTACGAGAGAGGGAGAAAAACTTATCTCTGTTCATTTTCTCCATACTCATCTTTTCTCTAAACTAAAAATCTGTTCATTTGTTTTTTTTAAAAATTGACATTTCTTTTGCTTGGTACTATTTGCCTATCTAAGGAGAAATTAGTTCGGTTTGCATTTTAATGTGAACCTACCTATTTTGCAATTACCAGA